CGATAAAGTCCTGGGCCGGCCACGCAAAGTCTCCCTGCGAGGCACCGGCAGTTGTCTTTGTCTGGTACCATAGGATTATGAATTCCGGTTTCGGGTTGAATGGCGAGAATATTTGGTTCCATTCGTCCCCCTGGAGGGTCTGGGGGCCAAAGTCCATGATCAGGGGTTTGCCGTTCAGTTTGGCGTGATTTGGTTGACTGAAGTACCTGTAAGTCAATGATTATATTGTAGTTTATAGTGAAAACTTGAAAATATAAGCAAAGTCTTTTTACTGTTTACTTATTACAAATTCATTTTACAAATATATTTCGTAGTCAATGTACTGAATTTATATATTTTTTGTGAATAAACAAACTCAAATAATATATATGTATTAATAATCTCGTAAGAATATCTATTAATTTAGAATATAACCCCTTTAATAAGTATATTTATCGTAAGCAATAAATAATAATAAATACTTCCAGATAAACTTAACAAATAAATGAATTAATTATAAAAATCAAAAATTAATTTGAAAAATGACGTATTACATAACTTTTAGGAACACTTTAAAATAATTAATTATTTAATAATTTTCAAAGTGTACAGAATATGTTTGACATGATTTATTAATTTAAATCCAGACATTCAGCTAAACATAAATAATACTATGAATGTGTCAAATGAATTTATGGACTCACATAAGGCACTTAATTTGTTGTTATTAAGAATCTTTTAATTTTATTTTATCTACCATATGTGACCAAGAATAGTCAAAAGTATAATATAATTATATTTTAAATATAGCTACAAAAAATTTATAACAAAAAGGTGTAACATACTTGTCGTGGACATACTGCATGTCCCTCCGGCCCTGTCCGATGTGGTCGGTTATGTTGGCCAACTCGAAGTTGTGGTCCTCATAGACAACCGCAAACTCCAACCCATGGGCGGCGGTACGGGAAATAATAGCGTCGGCGTTACGGGCATTAGCCCCGTAGTCCAATTTACCTGAGGTGCCGGGCCAGTCGACCAAAATACCGGTCACACCCGACAGCTTCATGAGTCCCAACTGCCAGTCGATGACACGGGTGTCGCCCGAGGCGTACGCGTCGATCAGCGGGTGGTAATGGGAGGCGATCTGTCGCTTACCGCCCGACACGATGTCCGGGTTCTGGTTAGCCATAGTCCAGTGGATACCCCATTTGCCACCTC